ATATTATAACTTTACATGCCAATATCTTCAATTTTTTTAAAACTAGAACAAATAAACTTTGTCTAGACTAAGTTATTTTCTAGACTAAGTTATTATTATTCGATTATTAAATTCTGATAACTGATTAATTTCGATTCGCATTATGTTTATATTTACCTTGGGCCTTTTAATAGTATCATGATTTCTAGCACTTTTATAATTAAAAGCGATCATGCTCGGCTCGTCTCCCATCGATTTGGAGCGCTTTTGCCAGCGTGAATTCGCAATATTATCTTTTCCGTTCAATTGTTTGCTATTCAGCTCCATGAAATCCGGTTCCTTCAGAGTCTGTTGTATCAGGTTGCGTCGACGCCTTTTACATTCCGATGGAAAAGGATAGCTCTTCGGTCGGTAAACGAGATCTTGCGTCTGCTGCGCAATGTAGACATCGCCAAACACTCGTTCATTTTCAACCGCCACGCATTTCACGCTATAAGTGATTTGCGCGTGCTTCTTCAGGGGCGTCACGTTGTAGCTCATGATCGTCGTTGAAAACGCACGTTCTCTGGATATGTCGGCTTTATGCGATCGTCGCCGCTGGATCCGATCTTAAATTTCCCGCAACGCACCGCACATCGACGAATTATGCCGTACTACGAATGATACATCACATGCATCAAAAAGCATATTTAATCAATTATTGTGTCGTCTTTGCATTGTTCGTAAGATCAATTCACGTAACGAAATTAATGGCTTGCATTTCACATAGATATGCTTCCGTATTTATTCATATTTACAACAGTAGCTCAGGTTATCTAGATGCTATGTTTTATTTACCGAGAATTTTATAATTTTATTTTCATTTTGAATATAAATTTAAAACTTTTATGTTCTTAAAATTATTTATTTAACGACAAATATTCTTAATTAATATTTCCATATAAATGATATTACAGAATGCTTTCGCACATCGTAAACTTGATATAAAATATGAAGCTTTATATATTCGATATAAATTTATGAATATAGCAACAAAAATATTTATTGAAAGTTAGATAGTCTAATTTCTAACTTAGACCTGGAAGTGTTGCAACTGAGTATACCGATAGTAACCTTGAAACTGACTGCAGGATATGAAAGCATTGATAAATGATAGCCTTCTCCATGTCTGTACATTACTAGTTATATCTAATTATATAATGTTCATCTCTATTTTTCTTATTATTTCGCGAAATTTAAACTTTAATGCGTCTAAATAAATATAATATAAAGTGAAAATAATTCACGAAGGTATACCCACCTTCAAAATTTATTTTTAAATATATTTGAAAAATTATATTTAAAAAATTAGTGAGTTATTACGAAGAAAATATTATTAATATTAATTAATATTTAATTTTTTATATTGAACTTTGTTTATATTTATACTTGTTTTGCTACACGACATTTAAGATATTTATGAATACGCACTAATTTTTCACTTCACTGCACATTTTATCTTTATCAAACTTAGATATAATTCACAATTAAAAATATTTAATATACATATTTTATTTTAAAATGATCAATATTATTATTATTGTACTATTGAATATTATTATTCTAATTTTTACAAACCGTATATACGTGATTATTTTTAAATTTTTTTGTATACAACGTGCTTGTTATTATCGCAAGCTAGTAATTTCCTTCTGGTAGCCAGACCACAACTGGAAGTGTCGGTGATAATAATCGTTTCATTAAGTCTATACCTACATACGTGTTGTCACTCGACTTTAGTTAATGGAGGTGGAACTGAAAAAAATGGGACATATGTTTTAGTTCGTGCATTTATTTACATTTTGTAAACAACACGTAATAATATCTTATAAATTAAGCATTTTCATTGAAAATTTTCTTGTTTTTTTTAATAAATTTTCTTTTACAAGAAAAACACATTAATTTGTTACACAGAATATAAAATACTTATAAAATACTTATTTTGCAAATATAATATTAGTTTATTTTTTATTCTGTATGTAATGTCATTAGAAGAAGCAGAAATTATAATATGATTGCAATTTGTCTTCTTTTTTTAAGAAAATGATAGAATATTTTGTCATATTAAATACTTATTTTATAATAAAAAATACTATCTTAAGTTAAACAAATAATTAACATTGGTAAACAAACATTAATTTAATACTAAAAAAGTTTCCTAATTGTAAATTACAATGGAAATAAGTTTATCTCAGTTAACTGAAATAACTATAAACTTTTTAATGAGGCAACTCAACAACCTATTTTGAACAAAGTTAGCACGTAGAATATAGATTATTTGTTAACTTCACAAAGAAAGAATTATTTATATATTATCACATTTAATGGTCTTACTAACGGTAGTATATTGTATTCTACTATTGCTATTTTCCATGAAGCGGTCAGAAAGATCGTTTCTGTTATCGGCATACGCGATAATATAACTAATGCATTATAAGTGTAAACTCTGTTTCAATGCAAAATACAGTCAACTTGTAGTCATTCACTTGGTTAGTCTGTTGACCCTAATCTAAAAATTGTTAAAGGGGTCCCGTATCTTTGCGCTTGTACATGTACATAAATTTCCATTTCCGTACTTGAAACTTTGAAGTGAGAATATGTTTGTCACAAAATATAAGAAACTTTATAATTATTTTAGAATATAAAATTATCGAATTATTAAAAGAATGCCTAAAAAATTGATATGAATGTTATAAAAGTTTATTTTATTAATTTATGGAATCAGTATTGTTGAATAGCCAAGTGTTAATCATGTTTTATAAATATTTTATAATATTTACTTGATGCAAGATGTTATGTTTATTGTAGATAGCAATATTTATTATTAACAGAAATATTACAACAGATTTAATATCTTTTAATAAATAATTAATTGTCTAGATGATGAATTCTAATTTATTACGATTAAATGCATTGGACGTGAATGAATATATCATTTCTCTATACATCCATATTTGTATAGGAAGGAAAATAGGAAATTATTAATTACACCACAACGTTAGTATACATATATTGTTTATCTTTAATTTATTAGATACAACATGAATAGCTAATAATGATTATTGTTAATAATATAATACCTTAATGATTTATCATGACAATAATATGCAATTTATATTGCATATTATTGTCATGCTAAACTGGCTAAACTGTAGGATTGATACAATTAAAAAATCAAATTCTAAAATTCAAGTAACAGATAATTATTTTGGTACAACATTATATTTGTATATTTGAGTTTAATCGATTACGTATATGCTGGAATCGTTTCTATAGTAACCGAGAAATTATGGCTGGCTTCTAGGAGTGAATTCAAACGAGTAGTGTTTTATCGATTATTGAAGATTATTTGGCAAAATTTAAATGTTAAGTTAATGTAATAGAGAATATGGTGAATACACCGTGCTCTTGTACTGACGAAAAACTTTTGGATTACCAAGAAAAATCATCCCCGCTTGGTCCACGTACAGACGAGGTTTATCGAACCTACAATCTTCCATCAAGATTCATATATCCAAGTAAGTTTTTCAGAAATTAATTTATTAAATAATACTTCTTCTCAAGTTAAATTCTTTAGTAATGCGAAATAATCGGAAAACGTTTCAGCATGCGATATGTAGAAACAAGTGAATTTCATTTTTTTCGGACGTAATTGGATGCGATCTACATGTTACCACTCTCAAACTCTATATTGCAAATTCAACTGCGTAATACGATGCCGCTGGCTCCTTTTTTTCAATTAAATTGCTATGTAAATCTGATATCTTTCCTACACTCTTTGGACGTGTTTCATTCGTGCGTTTTTCAAAGTTTCCTGAGCTATCCGTATAAACATGAAGAAATAATGGTATTTCCAGATACCGTGAATAAATTACACTAAATTCGTAACAAAATAATAAAAATTCGTAAATAATTTAATTAAAAAGTTTTAAATAAATATATAATAAACAACATAGAACTATTGGTAGCGAGACTACTGTTAAATTAAATCAGTGAATAAAACTAATTAATGATATATAAGAGCTTTTCTCGTAATATACTGTTTGATTGTATATTCTGGTTCACAGAAGTCGTCTGTAGCTAGCATGATAATATTCAGCTATTAATAAGCTGACGCAGCCGATCACTGCACTCGTCAAATCTTATCTGCCCAAGAGCATTTTTATGTATTTTCCAATATATCCCTTGCAAGTAACTCATCGCAAACCGTACACAAAGTTAATATATGTGAGTTGAGCGGCGCCTGAATTTTTTATCGACGCACATTGTATAAAGTATGAAATTCTAGTACGAACTTGTTATTCATCATTGATAATTCCTCATCATTTTCTGATATGCAGATATATCGATTGCTGTAAAGTATAGAGTTGTTGTAAAGTATATAAAATCAAAGATTTCTGTATGTTAATTCATATTCAGTGTAAACTTTTTGTTTTTTTTTTTTTTTATTTTTTTTTTTTAGGAAAACAGTTTTGTTGTAA